TATATATATATATATATATATATATATATATATATATATATATATATAATATATAAACACACCAGTATACATATATACACACAAGTGTGTGTGCATGTGTGTGCATTTCAGTATCCTGCCAAGTCCAGGTGTTTCCTACATCCAGGTCAGCTCTGAAGTGGCCACTCACAGGTGCTCTGGTCTTACCTCACGGACTGCTTCCACTGGGCCTGATCTTTCCTAGACAAAGATGTTCTCATAGATCCTGGGCAACAGTGAAGCAGACAGCTCTCCCAGGGCTTGGGCAGCACCCCAGTTTTCTTAGGGTCCCCAAAGGTGTCTTTGTCCCCAGTCAGCAGCAAGCAGTCCAAACAGCACGACAGCCTCATTTCCGCCTCACACCCCTTTCTCGTTTTTTAATTAAACAAAAAGTAAGAAATGTTAGTAAGCAGGCGATTCTGCTGGCCTGTCCTCGGGGACCTGGCAATTCAGTACATCATGTGCCGACATCGCTAGGTGTGAAGGTATATGAGCTCCCCAAACCTGCCCCCCCCAGATCTCTTCTATCTGTTCCAGCTTTCTCTTGCTCTCACTCTGTGTCCTAGGTGCATCCTTTCTCTCTTTTTCTCTGCCCTCATGGCTTGTCCTTGTCTCCCCCTTGTCCTTGTCTCTCCGAGTCCTCACTCCTCTTTCTTCCCCCAATAAGCCTCCTTATAGCAGACCTGTTGCGTGCTGTGATTCCTCAGTGGCATACCTTGACGTGGGCCTACCATGGTACCCCCTCGCCGCGTCATTGTGTTTCAAAACAAGGTCAATGGGTGAATAAGAATTTGCTGACGTAAGTTAATACCTGCCAGGCTCCTTGGTGCGATGAGAAGGGTTTCCCTGATCCCGTGGCTGCCTCCCAGCCGTGATTCTCTCTGCACACGATGGCCCGGCTCGTTTTCCATCACTATTACCTGAAAGCCGAGCAGCCCCTTCGTGAGGACATGACAGTTAGGTTTATGGACTTCCCAGCAGCAGGAACACTTCCACCATGCACTGGCGGTCGGCATTCTTGAGGTGGCAGTGTTGAGTCAGTAACCGCTCTGGCCTGCGTGGCGCAAGTCTAGTCAACTAAGTGAGGTGATTTTGGGGGAAGGCATGGGAAAGCACCATCTCAGATAGTGTACCCAATTGTTGATATTTCTAAGTATTGTTTTTTTGAAGTGTATTCTCCTGTAGCCACTAAATAACACTTTCCAGAAATCGAATCACCCTAGTGGCAATTTAGAAGGTCATTGTCCTATGTTTCCCTGGGGAGTGAGGCAGTACCTGTATAAGAACTGTGGTCAAAAGGTGGCGCAGCAAGGCTTTCTGGCTCGTAGATGATGCCATCTGGGGTCCCACCAGCACTTAGTCCCAAGTGCTGCTTAAATTGTAAGCTTTCACATGAATCCTTATGTTACCTTCATAGGAATTCATCAAAGCGTCCTCTGGCCATCACATACGATTCAATCTATCTGCTTCGCTGCTGCAGCCTGCCTGGAACAGTGAGGAGCCTAGCTTTTCCCTCCTTCCCTGTGTTGGATCAGGCTTTCTGCCTGCTTCTCCCTGGAGTCTGGGCTCTGGGTGTGAGCGCTCTTCATAGGCACTCTTCACCTTTATCTTAAGATAAGCTCTTAATGGTGTGAAGCATGGGATGAGGCCTGCTTGAGGAGGGCCTCATGACAATATGCACTTGGGGACTGAGGAGATGGCTCAGCAATTAAGAGCACAAGCTGCGCTTGCAGAGGATCTGTTTGATTTCCGGAACCCACAATAGCAGTTCCTAATAGTTTGACTCCCAGAACACTCTAGTAGTTGAAAGACTGATTAAAAAAACCAAAACAAAACAAAACCCAAAAACCTCCTTATCATGGGGAGGGAGACATACCCTGGAGACCCTGGATTGTTAGAGAGTATGAGAAAGGAATTGCAGGATATTATTTTTCCTGGATTGAGTGGAGGCTTTCTGGGAGGATTAAGGGCAGGCTAGCTTTGTTCTGCTTTGGAGGCAGAGAGAAGCCTTGACTGGACCTTATTAGTTCCCACCTAGAGGCAAGGGGGTAGGAAAAGTTCCGACCTCTCAAGGGGACTGCAAACTCTCATCCCAACCACCATTACTTCAGTTTACTCAATCCTGGGTACCCGTTACTTCAGTTTACACAACCACCTATAGCTCCACCTCCAGATGATCCAGCACCCTCTTCAGGCTTCTGGAGGAATGGCATTCATGGGCACAAATGCTCACATCAGCAAAAAAAACTAATAAACACAATTAAAGATAAAATAAAAATCTTTAAAAAGTGAAATGCTTATAACTGTAGGCAAAAGCTCACTTTTTCACTGACATTTTGGCCTTGGTTTGTGTGATGTCACATAGAATTCTCAGTTGTTAAAGAAACAAGGCTTATACTCACGTATTTCATCTTATTTCTAAATTCAAAATACATCTCAGTGACATAGTAACAGAAGGACAGGTGGCTGGGGCCATTACTCCTTAGGCAAAGGCCTCCAAGAATACTTTTAGAAGCTGAAAGAATGATTAAAAACAAAACAAAACAAAAACCTCCTTATGGTAAGAGGGGAGACACACCCTGGGGGAGCCTGGGGTGTGTTAGGTAGAGAGTATGAGAAAGAAATTGCAGGGTTTTTGCTTAGACTGAGTGAGAGCTTTCTGAAAGGGCTAAAGTCCGGCTGGTTTTGCTCTGCTTGGAACACTGTCAGGAAGCAGGGAGAGTCCATGACTGGGTATCTTGGTAACGCCTACCTTGAAGCATAGGGCTGAGAGAAGATCCGGACTGACAGCGGAGCAGCAGGCTCTCATCCTAACCATGAACGAGGGGACGGGCACTCCTACTTACCCAGTGCTGCTGTTTCTGGCTGAAATGATTGTGAAGCAGCCGGATTCTGTCTGAGCAG